TTGTCTCAATAGCTTAATACAGCTTTTTAAACTGTATTATAGAGCAACGAAGCCCTGACTCTGACTCCAATGAGATTTTTACAACTATAACTAAGATCCTAGAGATCCTATATGAATTTCGCCACTGCAAATTATTATTATAAATGTTCTGTAAATCCCACGGAAATACCGGCAATCCTATGGAAATCCCGGAAATCCCATGGAAATCCCAGAAATCCCATGGAAATCCCAGAAATCCCATGGCAATCCCGGCAATCCCATGGAAATTCCGGCAATCCCATGGAAATCCCAAAAATCCCATGGAAATCCCGGAAATCCCGGAAATCCCGGAAATCCCGGAAATCCCGGAAATCCCGGAAATCCCAGGAAATCCCAGGAAATCCTGGAAATCCGAAATCCGCCGTTTCCCCCTTGTTAAAATCAATGATATGAATAAGTTCCTACATAAGTCCACGGCTTGTTATCTTCTTACAAGAGATAGTAATAGATTATCTACTGATAGATTATCACGAGTTATTCAAGCATCAAAAAAATGATGAATTGTTTCCTATTCTTTGCATAAACTTTTTCTTGAAATTAGAAATATATGTACCTGTTGATAGTTCGTTTACTTCTTCTTAAAATCCATAAATTGAAAAACAATACAAAAGAGTTAAGGCAAAAGCGTCGGATACTCTAAGATAGGTAGTGATATCTAATGGCAAAATAGTCTATTAAATGGCTTAAAACAGTTTCGTTTTCCGTATACAACTCAAGTAAAGAAGCATAGAGACATGAAATAATATATGAATTTTATTCATTTTTCTAATCAACTCTAATCACTCCTAATCGCTTCTAATCACTCCTAATCATTATTAATCAATACTAATCACTCCTAATCACTCCTAATCAATAATAATCACTGCTAATCACTTAAAATCATATCTAATCAAATAATCAGCTGTTTCCCCCTTGCACCCACATCACTCCAATACCCACACCCACACATACCCACATCAAATCAATAGCTGCACCCACCCGCCCAAAAATCTCTAAACAGAATTCTAATTGAGTCAGAGTCTTTAGTGGCATTTTCACTTCAATTCAGAGCTACATCATCATCATCGATTCTTGGTAATAGAATGCGTGTCCATTTGTGATATTTATTGACTAAAGAAAATAGTAAGCTTTCAAAAAAAAAACGTTTGGGCATACCTATACTCTTAAACTGCAAAAACGTCAAATAGAATGTTTTTCTTTTCTTTTCTTTACTATTTTCGTTCTTTAAAAATCACAAGGAAGGGTTATTTTTAAACAAATACAAAATAGAACAAAATAATACGCAAATAAAATATAATATGTGTATATAAATATAGTTGATTCTACCATATATACAATAACATACAAATTCAAATATAGTAATACAAGAGAAAGAAAAAAAGAAACATTTGAAGAACAAATATATTTTTTACCCTTGAGAGAGTGTAGATTGTGTATACTGTATTAATGAAGTTGATGTGAAATGATTCACCAATGGTATGGTTTTTGCTAATTAGTTTGGTCAGACTAATGCGAAGCTAGATGAAATGATAACAAAGACGTGGAAAAAATGTGTACAATATAAAATCTGATGTTGATATAAAAGAGCATTCTAGATTGGCTTTTTAATAGCATCATGCTCAGTGATTTATATATATATAATGAATAAAATATTTTTATCGATTTCTTTTCAGTGATGATTCATGTATCAAATACACAACTGGATGGCATCAGTAATAACCATCGGGAAAGTATTATTAAAGCAGAAACAATCCAAGAGTAAATGTTGCTGTGTCGTTGTTTATAGTTTGGCTGTTGTATTCTTACTATACCTTTCCTTTTGATTATCAGCATGGCGGATATTTTAAATATATCTAAAGAAAAAATAAAAATATGATAGAAATAAGCAATTAATTTAATGAAGTTCAAATGTATATTTGATTAAAATTAAATCTTGAAATATTCGTACTTCAAAATAAATAGGAAATTACTATTCATTATATAATATCCAGATATAGCTAGAGCTTTGTGAATTATGTTTTAGATGGGTTGTATTCAAGTATCTAAAAAGTTTGCATAAATAACTATATGGCTATAGCTGCTTTATATTTATGAAGAGATTCGTCGTTTACTAATGACCTAATCATAGTCATAAATATGTATGGTTTGAATTTGCCAACGTTGATGCAACTTTTTGGGACATTTGGTATTGTTCATCATTTACTCAAACTAGGCAAAAATATGTCCTATTTAAATATAAGTAAAAAGGGGATACAATGATTCTTTATTGTTATTGAAAGGCTAAACTGCCTGCTCATAGAACTCATTCTATAGTGCTCATTTTTCTATACTTTCTTTATGATTGATCTTTCTCGCCCTTTTTCATGTTCTCTTTTTGTTCTTCTCCTCTTTGCTGATCCTGTTATTATTACTATTATTAACTTTTTTCTTCTGAACTGTTTTTCATCCTTTATCATTATAGAAATATTTTTAGTTGTGAATTAAGATGCTTTATTCTCTTTCAAAGAAAATATCGCAACGATTAAATTAACGAAATGTATTTCCTGATCATCAAGCTACATTAAAAGTTATTCGACAACTATTATGCCTATAATATACGTTTAGTATTAAAATAGTTAATAGAAATTAACGACAATACAAGTGAATGCTTAATGAAAGAATTTGACTTATTTATCAATACAGTAATCGATTATGGAAGATCTTATTTCGATGATAGTAGTGAGTTATTTGTAAAGTTGTGGATTTTTCATAGTCAATCATTTCCATTTCTTACTTAAGAGGATATTTAGATGGTGATGATGTATTTCACATAGATGATTTAGATAAGAATCGATTATAAAATGAATTGTGTTATATTAAATGTTTATATGATAATTTAAAACAAAAATATTCAATTAAGTGATGAAGCTAGCTCATATAATCTAGAGTAAAATACACTATTTTTCTGCATCAATAAAAATGACTCATCAACGTGTTGTATATGATGATAACGATATTAAAGAAGAAATTATTTCATTGTCAAAGAAAGAAGATGATGAAACCATAAGGTCTGATCGATTATGGTCATTTTTGTTAAATCACATCAAATAGTTCGAAATTATCGATCTCGTACCGATTCAATAAAAAGTGAATCATTCAAAAGAGCATAAAAAGATGAGTAAAACGTACTAATTTACTTCTGTCTCTCTCTCTCTTTCTCTCTGAATGACGCATTTTTTTCTAATTCTTTTTATCGTTCTGTTTGACATGTATACGAATGTATCAGCTTGTACATATATTATATGCCTAGTCAACAGGGAAAGAAAAATAATCTTGTCAAACTGCTCGTGATAATGGTTATGATATCATAGTATGATTCAGACATGATTATTAATTTAGAAAAATCCTTTTGAATAAAAATAGGATACTTATACGGAATCGTATCTGCTTATCATTTTGAAAGAAATATTTATTTAAAAACTGAATATTTGAAGCCTAATTTATCCTTCGAAAAAAATTATTGAGTTTCTGGTCATTTTATTTTCTTCATCGGTTTCCAAAAATTTATTTCTTTTGTTGTTATTTCTCTTCAAATAGATTAGCAATAAACATAATGTTTGAAATATTTAAGATCAATATTTTTTACAATGTTCCTATTACTTTATCTCTGTAATTCGATTCATACCGTATACAATGATTTTCCTAAACTCTCAACAGTCTTCGTTTCGAGCAAAACAAACAGATATTGTCTTCAAATGGATTGTCGATCAGTAAATTCACAGCTATTTTTTTGTGAAAATAAACTGTCATAAAATTAAGATTGAAAACTTGCTGAAGATCATTGTTGTCTTGTGCTACATTGGCATGATGGTTTTTTATTCGGTATCATTTAAATTTTCCAGTTTTGAAGTAGTGTTACCTGATAAACGTTGCAATGTTGATCAATACTCGTGCAATCTTTATGAAAGCGGAACGCAAAAATTAATGGAATTTTTAAAACTTTTTACTAGATCGAAATCATTATATTTTTGGAAACAAATAACAAATGGAATTGTTGCAATCAATTTAAATGTCAAATCGGATTATTTAAATACTTTTCGTGAACAAAAGTTGTTGTGATCCTTTTAATTATCTTTATTCTTTTACATCTTCGATGAATTGCATACATGCACCTGTATGTGCATGAAGAAGAAATGAAAAAAAAAACACAAAAGTTAATTAAGACGATATGAATAATGATATGATTATCTTCAATAAAGATCAATTGAAATTCATAAAAAAAATCAAATAGTTTCGATAACATGTCATAAGAAAACGAGTGATATACTCAAAATAATTGATAACTAGAAATATACATTCTGTGGAGATCCATTTATAAATTTAATTCATATCACTTTAGCTGTTTGAGAATCAGATGAATTCTAATCTGTCCTAAAAGTAAAGATTAGTGCATTTCAATACAACTACGTAATACTTAAAAAACATCGCGTCCTGTTTTCCTCGTTCAAGTGTGGTGATTGGTTTACATATAACAACAGATTACAAGATAAATATATAGAGATATATTGATATCTCATATAATCCTTCTGAAAAGAATATGTCACAAAAGAAAATGACTATGTGTGCCTGCAAACAGAATCAAAGACTACTAAAATAATATTGCGAAAATAATGCGCGGTTTTTCTTAGCCAATACGAGAGATGTTCTCGCTTTAGCCCTTTATAGGCATTATTTTCGATCATCGTAGGTATGCACGTTTGAATCGAACCAAACACGTGTTATTTTCTATAGGATCTCTTATCAAACATTCACATTGGAGATTGAGAGAGGAGCAGAAACAGAATAGATCTTGAACATTTCGAACATGATGTTTATTGATTATCTATTTCAATAGAAGTAACAACAAAATAAATAGACTTTTTTGCATAAATAAAGATAGTAAAATGATTGGAGACTAAATTAGCTTTTGGAACAATAAATAAGGCTTCAAATATTCAGTTTTCAAGTATAAATTTCTCTCAAAATAATAATCTGATACGATTCTGTATAAGTGTCTTATTTTTATTTCGAAGGATTTTTCTGAGTTAAACTAAGATATTATCCTCATCATGAGCAGTATGACAAGATTTTTTCTTGCGTTATCAACTAGACATATAATATATGTACAACATTGTACTTTTGTATACACGAAAGTAGAACAATTACAACAAAATAAAAAAAAGTTGATTCAGAGAGGGATAGAGGGGACAAAAATTCTTGCTGTTTCTGCTAGAAATTCTATTTTGAAAACTTTGCTGGAGACTTAGGAGCATGCTTCAGAGAAAATTAGTACGTTTTGCTTAGCTTTTTGTGCTTTTTCAAATGATGTAATTTTTATTGAACCGTCATGAAATCGAAAAT